TATATATGCAAAGATTAGTAATACCTTTATATATATTTGTAATACCTTTATGTAATATATATATATATATATATATATATATATATATATATATATATATATATATATATATATATATATATATATATATATATATATATATATATATATATATATAATATATATATATATATATATATATATATATATATATATATATATATATATATATATATATATATATATATATATATATATATGTATGTATATATATTACATATAACACAGACACGCAAAATATCAATACTATTCTATAAAACACAAAGTGAAAAGTCTTGGTGCAATTTTTGTTAAATTTCCCTTATTATACTTGTAACTTAGTTACTCTTTTATTCAAATATTGAATCGATAATAGTTTATAGATCATAGAGTTTAGAATATAGAAAATTAAGAAATATCTTTGAACGATAAATAACTAAACAAAATAATAGTCTTAAAATAATCAACCAAAACAAGTAGACATATTTAATTAACCGAGTTAGCGCATAATATTGTATGCGCCAAGTTGATAGTATTAATTTTTTCTAAGGTAATTAGGACGTCTTATGTTGGTCTTAGCGACGTCCATAGGACGCCTAAACATTGAAGTCCTGATATCGTCTTTATATTAACGTCACAAGGACGTCCTAACAAAGACGTCTTTATCAGACGTCTTTAGGATGTCCTAATTTGGTCTGAGACGTCGCGACCTAGTTAAGACGTCCGTAAGACGTTTGATTCACGTCTGTGCCCGCTGGGTAGAGTGGGTATAGAAAGCATGAGTGTCATCTGCAAACAGAATGAAGTTCAATATATTGAAAGATAAAAATATGTCATTTATATAGATTAAGAAAAGTAGAGGTCCTAGAATAGACCCCTGAGGAACACCACATGTAATGATTATAAAGCGGAGTGTATGTTTATTGAAAAATAAGGCTTGCTTACGGTTTTTTAGATAGCAACTGAACCATTTTAAATTTTTATTTTGTATACCATAATTATAAAGAGTCTATTATACATTATGCGCTCCAATTAAATAATTAAAAAAAAAAAAAGCTTAAAAGCTTAAAAGCTTAAAAGCTTACTTTGTAAGTTTTTAAGTTTAATTCTTTTTTCTTGCTGAGGAAACGCTTTTTCATACGCATCACTGAACTCTAAGTTAAAATATTTATAAGCGTTATTTTCGTCTTTGTAGTTGATAAGTTGATCTTAATCTATATATATATATATATATACAATATATGTATATATATATATATATATATATATATATATATATATATATATATATATATATATGTATATATATATATACATATATATATATATATATATATATATATATATATATATATATATATATATATATATATATATATATATATATATATATATATATATATATATATATATATATATATATATATATATATATATATATATATATATATATATATATATATATATATATATATATATATATATATATATATATATATATATATATATATATATATATATATACAAAATATCTATCGATTTCTTAAAATTTATCTGTAACAGTGTTAAAGAATAGACATTATAAACTTGTTGATCTTTACCATAAAGTTCAAAAAATGACTGCACAAAATAATTTTAACTAACTGGCAATCTAAATCAACATATTCTTTCAACAAAATAAAACATTATAAAACATGAACTGCAACTGAAAGATCTAAAAAGTTTGAATAAGTTTTGGCTAAACTATTCCCTTTAAACAACTGGCCTAGTGTGTACTAGAAAAGGTGTAAGTTCAGTTGCTTTCCATTTTTCAATATCTAGTTAAAACCTTGGTTTTTTAGAAAATTTTCTTGAAATGTAACAACCTATCTGGAACAATCTGCCATATAAAGTATTGAGTGTAAACTGAGACAATATACAACATTTGGGCAATTTAACCATAAGTTGATAAGTCTTTGCATACCCCTAAGATTACTAGATGCATTAAGTCTAAAGAAAACTTTGTCACCATATCAATTGTCATCATATTAATTCAATTGAACACACTACTAAGATGTTCAGAATGCTTTTGACAAAAATCTGAATCAGTGTTTAAAGTTAATGAAATATGTGGGAGTATTATCTTGCCACAACACTTTCTAATTGACGAAATAAAAAAAAGTAATATTTACTCCAGTCATTATATTTGTTCCTCAAAGTTCATGCAATTCTATCCTACATAAGTCTCTCACTAATTTTGTTATAATAATTAAACATATGGTCATAATCTATATAATAACTATTATCTTTTTTTAGTTATTTTAAACATAAGTTAAGTATTATAAGTATTAACAAGTAGAAGTATTGTAAGTATAAGTTATTATTATGTATATTATGATATTATTGTTAATACTACAAGCGTAAAATTTTAAATCAAAGTCAAAAAATATCAATGATTAAAAAGGTTCATTTTCCGCGGATTAGTATTACCCTTTCTTGATAATATTTATTACTATTGCAACAGTAATAAATAAAATCAAGAAAGATATTAAAGTTACGTAAATTGCTTTTTTGAAGTTGAGAAATTCTTAGTATTATTATTATTATTATTATTGCTATTCTTGCTAGTATATTATTACTAATTATTATAGTTTATTTATTAAAAAATATATTACAAATATAAGAGCAGATAAACTTCAAATCATATTACTACCATTTTGGACATATACAAATTAGTTATGCTACTTAGCTAACGTTCTCTTTTAAACAAAACTTTATAAATAAAAAAAAAATGCTGGAACTGTTACCAAACAAGTTCTTTTAAAAAATCATATTTTTAATTAGTTACTTTTCAATATTGAAATTACAAAAATGTTCAAAAAATATGAGTTGTACATTAAAAAAAAGGCAATAATAAATTTAAAAAAAACAATTCACGTAGAAACAAAAAAGCTGTAAAAACATATTAAGAAAATGTCGTTCTATAAGACTGAGGGATCGTCCGTAAAGTACGCAACGCTAAATTTATTACGAAAAACAGAAAAAGCACTTTTCATGTAATGATCTTTTCTCGCCCTACGTTACATAAAGCTGTTTGCATTCTTATTTCAGAAACGAATTAATTAGTCAAGTTATATTTGCTAACTTAGTAGTTTCTTTTGTTTAAATAGCATTAAAAGACATTTTATTATATTAGACTTATTAAAGACATTTTAATGCAGTAGACACTTTAGTGCAGAAGAATTAACAAAACTTTCTTTTAGTTAAAATCTAGATAATAATCAAAAATTTCTATTAAGTAGACGAACAATGCCTGCTATATAGCCATATGTCTTCTTTTAATTTAGAATTAAAAAAAAACGAATCAAGCAATTTAGATAGCTATGCAAATTTACTTGCGCATACAAAATTTAAAAACTAGGCAAATACTCAACAACTACATACAAGTACCACTATTTTCTGGTTAATAGTTGGAAAAGCTTATATTTTTAAATTTGCTGGTACGTATGCTACCTTGCAAATTCAAAAAACAACCGTCTTACAAAACCAAACAAACAAAGATGAAGAGTAAGAAAAAAGAAAGGAGAGAGAGGGAGGGCAAGATGGCGAACTTATTGAAAATCATTGAGTTTTTGAAAAGCTGTCAGTCATAAAGCAGTAATGCTTTGTCAGCATGTTTGTTTTATTGTAATGATTAAATCCCTGCATGAACGTTCAGTTTGCAAATAGAAAACTTTGCAATAAAATTTACATGTAATTTTCAAAAAGTTTGTTGTCTGGTCACGGAAACGGGGAAAGATAACTTGTTATGCGTTTTCTGCCTTCAGTTTCCTGACGTTTCAAAAATTACCAACAACTTAAACTAAAGTTATACAAATTACAAACACTTTGCATAAAAATATTATTTTTACACCACCGTTGCAAGCTCAAACTTTTTCAAATACTTTATTTACTCCAAAAAATAAAAGTTAGTAAATTCTAATCTGTTAAGGACTGACCACAAGTTCAAAACTAAAACAATTTCAGAAAATTTAGTTTCTCATTGCAACATGATTTCAGCATGATTTACGCAAAACTGTTTTTAATAAGCAAAATAAGTTCAAGATGTTTATCTCTAATAAAGAGCAAAATGAATCCGTTTCAGATCTTTAACGGTTAAGTATGAACAACTATAAATACTTTATGTTTTTTTTTCCAGGAAACCAAAAGCTATCACTTCAAGTGATAGCTTTTGGTTTCCTGGAAGAAAAAAACATAAAATATTTATAGTTGTTCATACTTAACAAAATTTGGCCTAAATAACATTACCTGGATTTTATTGAAAAACCTTCACTTTAACAGTTCACATCAAAATATATAGCAATTTTTTTTAACTCGAGAGAATAAAATAAACTTTTTCTGGCCTCAAAATGAAAATGTAAGAAAAACAGAGCAAAAGTCAAAACCTCACTTCCTAGAACATAGTACAACATTAAAGTGATTTGCATTTCTACTTAACATGAAGTATCGTGTTTACAATCAGACAATCTTTCGCAAAAATCGAAAGCGGAAAAAAGGGCATAAGACGTATAAATGTTTTTGTTAAACCTGTGTAGTTTTTTCAAATTAATTTATCAAAAGTTCAAAAAGTAAATGGGGAACAAACATTTTATGTTTTTAATCCAAATTGCAAAACATATGAGCTTAACATCAAAATGTCAAATTTTTTTCTAACATTAAGAAAGGATTTGATAGGGTACCTCCTTATAAATGACCTGGTTTTAAAGGGCTCATCTAAATTAATAGAATTGCATTAATCTGTTTGAAATGAGATGTTATCGTTTTAAAGTTTACGTCAAAGGGTCATTAAGTTATATTTAAATAATGAAAAATAAGAAAAAATTACAAATCTAATTTGAAAAACAATTGTTTGGAGCATTTGATTTGTCACACGCCAGTAATCTTGCTCTCTATAAAAAGACGCGTAAGTTGGTAAACCTATGCAAATTTAACAAACCATTTGCTACGAGAAAACGAATATCGCGTTTCAGATAACAGATAATAAAATGGTATTAAAAGATACATTTTATTCTCTTTTTGCGTTTTTACTATATTTCTTTTAAGTATTTCAAAATGAGTTTGACTTACTTAATGAAGTGCGCTTTTTTTCTTAGAAAGAGATATTTTGTTTTACTATTCTTGGTTACACACGGTTTAGGTATCAAAATTTTTTATTTTTTAATTTGTTATTTCAATACAGAAATTTTTTTTTTTTAATTAAATAACTTAAAAAAATATCCATAACAATCTAAAACATGTATGTGTACCTGTAAAATAAAAATATAAAACGCTTTTACCGGTTTCAAATAATACTAGCAAATAAAGATAAGTATCCATCTCAAGATGGATCAATAAAAAATCTCATTCTTGAAAACGGGGAGCCTGGTACCACTTTTTTTTTTTTTATACCTTTTTTACGATTTTTGTCTAACGCATTTAAATCAGGCGTATCAAAGAGTCTGCTTTTTCGTTTTGTAATTTAATAATTGAAAATGTACATCGTAAAACTTTTAAATGCACTATTTGTAATTACTCTTATATCTAAACTAATTTCATGAAGAGAAATTTTTATTTTTTACACTTTTACTTTAAATGAATTGTCTAAATGAATTCAAATGGATTTTATTTTTCGCACGTTATTTTAGGTGAATCTTTAGCGAACGCCGTACTGAAGTCAAAATGTAAGATTTTTTTTTATTTTTTTTTTCAGTTTACAATTATTAATCGTAATATAACAATATAACAATATATAAACTTGGTATCTGAAAGAAGATCTAAATGATCTTGTCGCCAGAACCATATAAAAGATATAATACGTGTATATATAATAAAATAAAATACAATTGATCAAATAACTAATAACAATGTAGAAGAAACAAAAACTGAAAATAATTTTACAAATTATCCAGAGTAAAAAAAAAGATTTTTACATTTCAAAAATATTTATATATATTGCCAGTAGAAAGAATATAGTTTTTTAATTTAGTTTTAAAAACGAAAAACGAAATTGACAAATCAAAATTTGGAACAACAATTTTGTTCCATAAATACGGTGCTCTATAGTTTATGCGAAATTGATTAAACTTTGTTTGACAAAAGGGTTCAATTAATAAATTATTAGTTCGTAAGGCATATTTGTTTATAGCTTTATAAGTAAAAAGATCTTTGAAATTGGACAATGGTCATCCACTTTTACAACGAAACATAAAACATAAAATATTATAGACATTGAGTTCGTAAACGTTAAGTGCTTTAACGTTTTTGAATAAAATATTTGAATGAGAAAAACGATTTTCGAAACATATTAAACGCATTGCGTGTTTCTGACGATGGTAAAGACTTCGTAACTTACTTTTAGAGGTACTTCCCCAAACAATATTTGCATAATTTATATAGCTATGAATAAACGAGTAGTAGAGTTGAATTAAATTTTGTTTACTTAGATAGTATCTGACCTTATATAGAATTCCAATACTATTAGCCAATTTAGTAGAAATATAGTCGATATAATACTTCCATGTAATATTTTCATCAATGTAAATTTATTTTCAACAATGTAAGATTTATCAAAATTATTTAAACTTTGCAAGCTGAATGATATTATTTTTAGGAAACTTTTTTGTTTTTGACTGTTTACTTATATTTAAACTTATTATAAAGATAGATAATAGGTGGTTTTTTCTTTTCTTTAGATTTTGTGGATAATGAAGTTGAAGAGACATTAAAGAAAAATAACTTGGTTGCGGTTTTGACAAAATTAGAACAAACGTTTGATATTTATTTCGATTTAAAACTCAACAGTTTTTCAGATGGATTTAGAAATGTCATTCATTTGACTATAGGAGAAGATAATTCGAAATACGGTGATCGAATTCCTGGCATTTGGGTTTCTAATCAAAAGTTACTCGTTGGTTTTGCAATAAACAATAATAAAAATGAATATTTTGAATCCAAGCCACTTCAACGAGGCCAGTGGATAAATATTCATATACATCAACACGCTGAATCGGGAAGAGCTTCTTATACTTTATATATCAATAACGAAAATGTATATACTGTACAAAACTTCAACCCGCAAGTATTGACAAATGTCAAAGATTACGCTGGAGATCCGTGGTACGAAGTTTAGGATGGATCCATTAGACATTTTAATGTCATTAATGGAATTTTAATGTCATTAATGGAATTTTAATGTCATTAATGGAAATTTAGGTAAGCTTTCTATATTTTTGTGTAACCCTTTTTTATTATGTAAATTCCGAAGCTCTTACACGAAAACTTAAACTTCTGCTGCATTTATTATAAAGATAGTCAATAGGTAGTTTGTTCTTTACTTTAGATTTTGCAGGTAATGAAGTTGAAGAGACACTAAAAAAAAATAACTTGGTTGCAATTTTGTCAAAATTAGAACAATCATTTGATATTTATTTCGATTTAAAACTTAACAGTTTTTCAGATGGATTTAGAAGTGTCATTCATTTGACTATAGGAGAGGATAATTCGAAATACGGTGATCGAATTCCTGGCATTTGGGTTTCTAATCAAAAGTTACTCGTTGGTTTTGCAATAAACAATAATAAAAATGAATATTTTGAATCTAAGCCACTTCAACAAGGCCAGTGGATAAATATTCATATACGTCAACACGCTGAATCGGGAAGAGCTTCTTATACTTTATATATCAATAACGAAAATGTATATACTGTACAAAACTTCAACCCACAAGTATTTACAAATGTCAAAGTTTACGCAGAAGATCCGTGGTACGAAGTTTAGGATGGCTCCATTAGACATTTCAATGTCATTAATGAATGTCAGAAAAGACAAACTTTGCCTACAGTGCAAACTTAAGGATGAAAATGCTGCTCACATGATGTATGAATGTGAAAAAGTACAGCCTCTTATTCTCTTTGTTCTAGATATTTTAGATCAGCTCTACCCTACTAATTATCCTCATGATAACAATTTTGAATTTATTTTGTTTGGATACGAAAAATATACGGATTATTTTTTTGGTTGTTTGTTATTAGAAAGCTTTATTTGTGAAGTATATTTTAACAGAATGAAAAGTCAATTTGATAACAAAACATTTACTATAAAATTTTTGCTGGAAAAATTTGAAAAAAAAGTTAAAAGATTATTTTTAAATGAGCTACTAATGCTGAGGCAACAAAATAAACAAGAAAAACACATAAATGAAACAAGAAACATTTTTAAAAACGGAAGATTAAATTTGATTGCAGATGTTCGTGACTATTTCGTGTAATTTCAATTTTTTCGTTTTTCTTTTTTCTTTTTGTTTTTTAATTTTTATTTTTTATTTTTTATATTATATATTCTTTTGGTGTTATTTTATACGAGTCCGAAGGACATCTTTGTAAACGTTTTTTTCGTTTTTTCGTTTTTTGTTCAAACCTTGTATTTATTATGAGGACGTCAGTATGGCAATTAGCCGGATGACGGAATAAACTACAATATAAAAAAAAAAAAAAATGTCATTAATGAAAATTTAGGTAAGTTTTCTATATTTTTGTGTAACACTTTTTTATTAGGTAAATTCTGAAGCTCTTACACGAAAACTTAAACTTCTGCTGCATTTATTATAAAGATAGTCAATAGGTAGTTTGTTCTTTACTTTAGATTTTGCAGGTAATGAAGTTGAAGAGACACTAAAAAAAAATAACTTGGTTGCGATTTTGTCAAAATTAGAACAATCATTTGATATTTATTTCGATTTAAAACTTAACAGTTTTTCAGATGGATTTAGAAGTGTCATTCATTTGACTGTAGGAGAGGATAATTCGAAATACGGTGATCGAATTCCTGGCATTTGGGTTTCTAATCAAAAGTTACTCGTTGGTTTTGCAATAAACAATAATAAAAATGAATATATTGAATCTAAGCTACTTCAACAAGGCCAGTGGATAAATATTCATATACGTCAACACGCTGAATCGGGAAAAGCTTCTTATACTTTATATATCAATAACGAAAATGTATATACTGTACTAAACTTAAACCCACAAATATTTACAAATGTCAAAGTTTACGCTGGAGATCCGTGGTATGAAGTTCAGGATGGCTCAATTAAGAAGCTCAATGTCATTAATAGATATTTAGGTAAGTTTTCTACTTTTTTGTGTAACACTTTTGTATAAGGTAAATTCTGAAGCTCTTACACGAAAGCTTAAACGACTGCTGCATCGGTTTTATATTGAATTGTTTGTTTTTTTCCATTGTTTTTCTTATTTAGATGGGAAAAAGGAAGTGAAAAAGGACGCCAAACGGAAAAAGGCGTTTCGGTTAAATTATTAATAAATGTCAAAAATTTGATTTTTTTATTCGAATTGTTGTTTTTGTAGTGTGCAAATTTTGATGTTTTGAATATGTATTTTTTATTTTGAAATACATCTTTCGCATTGCATTCTGTTTAGTTTTTTATTTCAAAAGAATTACTGTATATTTCGATGATTTATGTATTAAAATATAAGCTAATAGAAAAGTAACAAAATATATGCAAAATATTAACTTTTCTCAATTTGCAATATACTAAACGTTCTTATAAAAATTCCTGCCGATACCGTTAAAACAAAACACCTAAAACTATTTGCAAAGAACTTCTCTTCTTATTCCACTATTGAATCTTATGGACATTCTCTTCCTTCCATTCCAGTCAAACAGGTTGACCCATTGTTAGACATTTAAATGATTCCCATTGTTAGACATTCAAATGACATTCCTGCTTGTTGCAAAATGGCATCTGTGGTTCAAAAACTCTGGAGAAAATTCTGACCCCTTCAATTATCGTCCGATCAGTCTTCTTTCTGTTATTAGCAAGGTCTTAGAGTCTTTGATCAACAAATTCCTCACATCTCATCTTGAGTCAAATAAACTAGTGTCAGACAATCAATACGGTTTCGATCCTCTTGCTTTACGGCCGACTTGCTAACGGCTGTAACTGAAAGATTTTATCGTGCATTAGATGGAGGCAGTGAAGCTAGGGCTATTGCTCTCGACGTATCTAAATCTTTCGACAAAGTGTGGCATGCTGGTCTTCGCAATAAGGTTGCTTCATATGGTGTTTCCGGGTAAGTTTTTGAGATTATCAAATCATTTCTTTCTAACCGGTTTATTAAAGACATATTTGAAGGCCAACACTCTTCTTTTTTTCCAGTAACTTCTGGGGTTCCCCAAGGTTCCATCCTGGGCCCTGTTTTGTTTTTTATCTACATAAAAAATCTTCCTGACAACCTTTTATTCAAAGTAGCTCTTTTGCTGATGACTCAACTTTATACTCCTGTCTAGACAAAAAGTCTTCTCATATCGATCGCGTGGAACAAGCTGCTGTTCTTGAATTCGATCTCACTTCAGTAAAAGATTGAGGTTCACAGTGGCTTGTGAAGTTCAAATTTAACAAAACCCAGCTGTTTACTGAAAACAGCTACCCAATTTCTGACTTAAACAATCTTCAACTTTTCAAGTCTTTTGTCAACCGTTTCCTTGCTCTATAACTCTGTTCCTTTTTTTCCTAGTGACTCCAAACTTAATAGCGGTTGCTTGCAGCCTTGCTGGGAGTGTATGCAAATAAAAAAAAATTAAAAATAAAAAAACAGTTACTTAGAGATCATCTACGATGTTCTTGCATAAAGCCTAGCACGAGAAAAAAATAATGAATAGTGTTTCTCAAGGAAAAAGTAAAGTTTTTAAAATTGGAATAACTGTGTTTTTTCGTCAAAATATCTCCTAACAAATATTTCTGAATAAGCACACCAATTTCTCTGGACATGAATATTTTTAGACAATTCGAGCGTGCCTTTTATTGCATAAATATTGGCGCAAAATTGAGAGGTTAGAACTATTTTGTATTACGTTCCCAACTCAAAAAAATTGAGTTATAATAATTTTTAGACACTTTGTATTTTGAAATGAACGTTTTTCTCTAAGTTTTCAGAAAAGTCAAATTTGTACTTTCAATTCTAAATTCTAGTTTTCAAAGTAGTTTCTAATGTCATATGTGGACGCACAATAGGCGGTCAAATTTGGATGTTAGTAGCACGTTTAACTTTAAAGGTACGTCAGTAAATCCAATCTGAAGCTAATATAGACAAAAACATTTTGTTCCGTCCTGTCCGAACAAACAATTTTGGTTTATATTTGGTCTTTTGTACGTGCAATGAACATAACCGTGCAAATTATTTTGCGACTACTTTTTTGATAAATTTATACATTTTCATTTGTATATATATAACTCAAAACAAATTTCGGCTAGCGCACGTTTTTTTACTTATAAATTAGGTACCACAAGTTTTATGGCTAGCAAATCAGTACCGCCAGTTTTGTGGCTTTTAAACAGATACAAGAAGTGTTGTGGTTTAATACATATCACAGCAAACTAAGCCCTAAACCTTAAATATAGAGCGACAAGTACTAATCGGCGCTGGTTACAAAATAATCACAAAAGCACTGGCCCTAAGACTTGCAAAAGTAATGGGGAAAATTATAGAACCAAATCAAACTTGCGGAATTCCAGGTAGAAACATTTTTTCAAATTTACATCTAGTACATGACTTAATAGATTACGCAGAATTTAAAAATCTACCTAGTTTTATTTTATCAATAGACCAAGAAAAGGTGTTTGACAAATTCGATCGTGCGTTTCTGTTGCAAATTCTCTGAAAATTCAACCTCGGAGAAAATTTTGTATCCTTTGTAAACACCCTATATTTAGAGGTTTCGGCATCTGTTCTGAATTGCGGTTTCTTGTCGGCCTCTTTCCCTATCGAAAGGGGAGTTAGACAAGGCGACCCCCTCTCTCTGTTGTTGTATCTCTTTGTCGCCGAGGCTCTCGCTTTGGTGATCAGAGCAGACATCAGAATTGAGGGTTTCCCATTACCAGGAACACCAAAACCACTTAAATTGCAGCAGTACGCAGACGATTCGAACTTTTTTGCCAGGGAGTCCGCTTTTTTTTCGAAACAGTAAAACTATTTGAAAAAGCAAGTGGTTCAGTGATCAATGCCTCAAAAACCAAGGGTCTTGCTCTTGGGGGCTTTGATCCTAAAATTTACCCTGAATTAGACAGCATAGAGTGGAGCAATAACACCGGTTTTTAAATTTTAGGTGTTACTTTTTACACCAGACTGAGTAATACTACCAATTTCAACTGGTTAGTAACTCTAAACAAAATAGAGAAAAAACTCAAGTTTCTGGGACTACGCACTTTGTCACTTAGGGGAAAGACTATGTTGATCAATGCGTTAGCAATGTTTAAAGTTTGGTTTCTATCAAACGTGTTGCCTACTCCTGATTGGGTAATAGACCATTTGCATAGAGCCATTTTCGAAAATATGTGGCAAAAGACCAATTTCAATCCGGTCAAACAAGAGACACTTATTTTACCCGTAAAAAGCGGGGGTCTCGGAATTTTATCTCCGAAGAAGCAAAGTCTTTCACTTCGCCTCAAAACACTCTTTTAATTGAAAGAATGCGAAGAGGACCAAACTCATGATTGCTACTACTTTTCAAAGTACTGGTTGGCAAGTTCACTTATAAAATATGCGAACCAAAACCAAAGCTGGAAATTTTTGAAACAGAAC